CTCTTGGGAAATAACAAATTAGGTGTCTGAGCCTGTAAGTTGTGTTTCACAGTTGTGTTTCACATAAGTTAAATCTTATCTGGGTGAGCTCATGACCTTCATGACCGTCATAAGTGTCTTCTGACTTCTTTTTGGAACTTTTCTAGGAAAAAGCAGAGAAGAGCTCGTGATAAAACAACCTCCAAAAGGGAAGGCCCTATAAATATTCAACAGCTCTTTCTTTTGAGTTTTTATGTTTTATGGAATCTTTTAATTCTATTTCAAATGTTATCGCCACGTGGTGGCCTCTTTTATCCTGTCCTCTCTTCCACATACCAGACAAGTGTACACTTCTGTAGAGTAAGAAGAAGGATAAGCTAATAACTACTGAGTGCTTTGCTATATATCAGACTTTAAGGACTTCATAAATGTTACCTATCTTAAAGCAATATTTTCAAGAACTAAGAGAAATAAAGAAAATATAAATGATCTAGAAGAGTTCAATATTCAAGATAAACTAACACCTATGAGCCAAATCAGACTCACAGGAATCAGAGACCTTACTCAGTGTCTCACTCCATTTTGTGTTGCTGTAACAGCAACACAGGTTTCTATAATGAATAGAAATTTATTGACTCACAGTTCTGAAAACTGGAACTGAGACACCTGGAGAAGACCATCTTGCTGTGGAAGGGCAGAGAGAGGACAAGAGAGAACAAAGAGAGCCAAACTTTCTCCTATAGCAAATCCAGTCTCATGGTAATTAACTCACTGGCACGATAACAACATTAATCCCTTCACGAGGGCTCATCACCTCCTTCTTATTAGGTGCCACCTCCCCACACTGTTGCACTGGGGATTGGGTTTTTAACACATGAACTCTGGGAACGCATTCAAACCACAGTACCCAATAACAAACATTGCTGGCAATTTTAAGGATACACATAATTGGGCAGTACAGGTGAATCTCAGGTCACCCTGGTCCATCAAAGCTTCTTCTGTTTTTATTTTGGGGGGGGGGGTACTGGGGATTGAATTTAGGGACACTCCACCACTGATCTAGATCCCCACCCCTATTTTGTATTTTATTTAGAGACAGGGTCTCACTAAGTTGTTCAGTGCCTCACCATTACTGAGGCTGGGATTACAGGTGTGCACCACCACACCTGGCTTCTTCCTAGGTTCTTACTGGCTGCATTAGGTTGCACTCCAGCAAGGACATTGCCGCAGTCTGGCTGGGCACAATTCAGGAGCCACTTGTCAAAAGAAATGAACTTTATTTTTAGAACCACACACACCAAACAAAACAGCTCCTCAGGAAAAACCTTCAGAGCCCAACTGCCACCACCGGCTTCCCACAAGCCTCTTCACCTCCCCCACTCCTCCTGCTCTTGAGGCCTATTGGCTGGGTCGCGTGGGTGGAGCCAAAAAAGTCCCCCAATGAGCAGCTTCGTAGTCTGAAAGGGCGGGGAAACAGCCCAATGAGCATCACCGCAGAGGAGCCAATCAGCTAGAAGTTGCTGGGGCCACTGTGAGCCAATCATCAGCTGGCAGTCTGAAAGTTTGCTGGGGCCCCTTTGGCTGTGGCTCTCAACAGGACATGACATAGAAGGCCACTAATAAATGCATATCATCACCACTAAGGCAAAGAGAACAACTTGGGTCTTAAAATGTCTTAGCTTTACCCCATATAGTTACATAGTTTGTTTGACATTTTCCAGGGACCAATGCTCCATTAATCATAGATTCCAGGTGTATTTATCATAAACATCCTAGACTGACCAGCAGGTATATCCTGTCCTGCTTTATAAAAAGAAGAACTCTGTTAATAAATATCATTAGTACCTTTCTAGAAGGTTTGTATTAATATGTGGACAAGGAGATTTGAGCCCAATTATCTTCCTCTGTCTTTTCCTCTCTCTTTTCAGAGGCTTCTCAGGGAAGGAAGAGAATGGCCGGCTGCTAATCTTTTCCTTTCCCCAAGGTATAGGTCTTTGATCCTAAGACTTCCATTGAAAGCAGCTTCGGGGTTTATTTTCCAAAACCTCATAATCATTTCACCTCAAATTAACTCTGCTTCTGCCCAGGGAAGGCAAGCAACACTGACAAAAGTGCTTCCAAACCAGGCTGTTGGCTTTCAGACCTGCTTTCTTTCTTGAATTTTTATTAGTGGACTATAATTATATAAAAGTGGGACTCACTATAATATATTTATACGTGCACATAACATAATTTGCTCAATGTTATCCCCACTACCTCCTTTTCCCCTCCTTTCTTCCCTCCCCTTGTTTCCCTTTTTCTATGCTATTTTTTCATGAGATCTTTTTGTTGTTGTTGTTTGTTTTTTGCTTTTTTTCTCTCTAGCTTCCACATATGACAGAAAACATATGGGCCTTGACTTTGTTAGTCTGGCTTATTTCATTTAACTCCATGTTTTCCAGTTCCATCAATTTTCCTGCAAATGACATAATGCCACTCTTCTTTATGGCTGAGTAAAACTCCATTGTGTATATATACCACAGTTTTTATCCGTTCATCCATTGTTAGACACCTATGCTGGTTCCATAACTTGGCTATTGTGAATTGTGCTGCTATAGACATGGGTATGCATGTGTCACTATAGTATGCTGATTTCAGTTCCTTGGTATAAATACTGAGGAATTCTGTAGTTTTTTTGGGAGGGTTCATTCCTAGTCAGACTCGTTTTTCTACTGCAGAGTTAATATATCCCACACTCAAATTAGGTTTTCACTATTAGGTTAACATTGGGTTATCTTGCCATGTAGGGATTCATTTTTTAAATGAACCTTTCTTTTAAACTGTTCTTAATAATAATGCTTTTGTTTTGTTTTGTTTTTTGCCACTGACTTACTTCTACTACCACCAACCAGTGGGATTAGGGTTACATAACAGTGTTAGCACGATGAGTACAAATTCTATTCACATGATATTGAAAGCCCACCACATGCCCATCAGGTACTGAAAAAGGAAAAGACAGTCCCTGCTCTCAGGGAACTCACATTCCTCTGGGAAATAAAAATGTGCCTATCCCTAAATCCTCCAATATTATGAAGTCACCCTGCCATTAGTATCTGAATAAAAATGGCTCCTAAAAGGGGACATAAAAACAGCTCTCTCCCTAACGGTGTTCTGGAAGTAATTTAAAAAGAAACATTTTGTTCTTTTTAGTGCACCAATAAATAAGTAATAGAATGGATTATGTTTGGTGTTGCAGTATAAGAACGAATATAAAGAGAAAAGAGGATCTCAACAGGATGTTCTAGCTGGAGATGGGAGAAGGCTCATGGCAGAATGCTGGCTACGCTGGGTGTGGTGGATGACTAGGCATTTATCAGAGGGGGAAGGAATTCCAAACAGTGAACTTGCACATGCGCAAGATAGAGGTGTAAAAGATCAAAGAATACTGCAGGGCCTCCAACGTAAGCATGTGATGGTAAAGGTTATGTGTGAATCATAATGAGCAGGTAACTTTGGCAGAGGGAAAGTGTGTGTGAAGGACACAGAGTGTCACCCTAGAATAAAGGCACAGATAAGAAAGGACAGATTTCTCAGCAGATGGTACTGATGGTATCTGGAGAATAAAGAGAGGAGTCAAGAATTTCATCTTAGAAAACAGTGTAGCAGTTCCTCAAAGAACCAAAGATAGAACAACCATCTCATTCAGCAATCCCACTTCTGGGTAAGTATCCAAAATAATTGAAACTATAATTATAATGCACCAATAAAAAAAAGAAGAAGAAAAAAACCAAAATAATTGAAACTAGAGTCTCAAGAGGCTCACATATGTTCCCAGATTCACTGTAGCACTCTTCACCATAGCCAAGAAGAAGCAACCTAAATGTTTACTGATAAGTGCATGGATAAAGAAATATGGTATATCCATTCAGTCTTCAAAATGGAAAGAAAGTCTGGCATATACTACAACATGGATGAACCTGGAGCACATTAGGTTAAGTGTGTCTATTCACAGAAAAAAAAATACAAATATTTGAGGTGTTTAAAGTAATCTAATCATAGAGACAGAAGTAGAACTGTGGTTACCAGGGGTTTCAGGGATGAAGAAATGGAGAGCTGTTGTTTAAAGGGTATGGAGCTTCAGATTTGGAAGATGAAAACCATCTAGAGGTCTGATTCACAATGTTGTGAATGCCCTTAACACTACTGAACTAGACACTTAACTTTTGTTAAGGTGGTGAATTTTATGTTAAGTGTTTTTTACCACTTTTTTTTAAAATTCATTTTGAGTGTCTGAGTGACTAGATAGTATACACTGGAGGGAATTGTGGGTTTAATTTTGAAAAGACTGAGTTTGAGGGGTTTGGGGGTATCCAGGTAGAGATAGGAGATGCACAGATGCCGCAAATAACTCAACTCGCAGGTCAGCATGAGCAAGAAAGAAGAAGCAGAAGAAGCCGAAGCAGCAGAAGAAAAAAAGCCCCTTTATTGTATACAGCAGTCTTTTTACAGTACTGTGAACATAGAAGGCAGCCTTCCAACAGCAATAAATCAGGTCTTTAGGCTAGTTAAACATAGTATACAGAAGTCTTACTTTCTAATCAGAAGTGACCCACTTCTTATGGCTTAATCTACTCTTGGCCCGGAGCATACTGAGCTCTGCTCTTTGTTAAGAACAGATAAAAATTTTCTCAGCGCCCTCCTAGCCCACTTGGCAGAACATCCAGTTTGCGAACAAATCCTACCAAGGACAGCAAACACCTCGTTTTCAAGCATGTCTGCTGTTACCTATCTAAACCTGACAGAACCTGGAACCTCCCGTTTGCAGGCAGGCCCCATCAAAGAAAACAAACATCTTGTGTGCAAGTATGCTAACTATCACCTTATTATCTATCACCTTACTATCACCTTATTATCACCTTATCTAGACCTTGACAGGACATCCTGTTTGCAGACAGGACATCCCGTTTGCAGGCAGGCCCCATCAAGGACAGTAAGCATTGCGTTTTCAAGGTCACAGTCACATCTGATTCTCTACACACTGATATACTAAGAGCACAGGCTCTGAAGCCAGCCCACCATGGTCCAGCTGGCTCAGTCACTCACCACGAAAATTGTGCCTCAGTTTCCTCCTCTGTAAATCTGGGGAAATAAAAGCACCTACTTCAGAGGATTGTTATGAGAATTCACAAGATGATCCATATAAATCACACTGTGTCGTGCCTGGCTACCAGTAAGTACCTAAAAACTTTGGCTCTTTTTATAGTTAATGTCTACATGTCTGATTATTATGCATCTGCAAACATGTCTACATTGTCTAGTATGGAGTCTGGGGCTCAGGGACTAAGCAGAAGTTAGAAAATTAATAAAAGATCTGGTGGATATGAAATCCATCTGGATATGCCAGTCAAAATCAATTTTGAAATCTGATAATTTCATTAGCTCAGCCATCCTTCTCATAGACATAGTTTGCATTTGAATTTTTAGAAATACCAAGAAACAACTGGAGTAGATACCCAAAAAAGTCCAGAACAATTGATTTTCTTAGCCATTATTTCCATTTGAAGAGAAATAGTAGCTTCTCTAGAATTGCTTCCTCTCATATCTTCCTTCTGAATCCTGGTTTCCAGAGAGAGGGACACTGGGCTTATACTAGAGTTTGGGTCATGGATGTGATTCTCTTTGTTCCACTGAGGAATCAGGACCACCCTGGTTAAGGTTATCAATTTCTGTATTTCTGAAGTGGTCTATGACCTTTCACCTAGAACTTAGACTTCAAAACACATGGATACAATCTTGAAATAGTCTCTTAATTATGAATTAATAATATACCAATACATCATCCATAAAATAACCTAATATCCCAAAGAATTAAAGAGAGAGTAAAATTAAGAATACAGTTTAATTAAAGACTACTATCCTCTCCTCAGACTATACTCAAAAGTCTTAAAAACAGCATACTACAGGGACACAGCCACATCAATGCTTATAGCAGCACAATTCACAATAGCTAAACTGTGGAGCCAACCTAGAAGTCCTTCAGTGGATGAAAGGATTTTAAAAATGTGGCATATATACACAATGGAATTTTACTCAGCATTAAAAAAGAACAAAATCATAGCATTTGCAGGTAAATGGATGGCGTTGGAGAAGATAATGCTAAGTGAACTTAGCCAAACCCAAAAAAACAAATGTTGAATGTTTTCTCTGATATAAGGAGGCTGACTCATAGTGGGGTAGGGAGGGGGAGCATGGGAGGAATAGATAAATTCTAGATAGGGAAGAGGGGTGGGAGGAAAAGGGAGGGGGCAGGGGATTAGCAAGGATGGTGGAATGCGATGGACATCATTATCCAAGTGCATGTATGAAGACATGAATTGGGTGTCAACATACTTTATATACAAACAGAGATATGAAAAATTGTGGTATATATGTGTATTAAGAATTGTAATGCAAAAAAACCAAAGTACATGTATAAAGGCATGAATTGGCATGAACGTACTTTATATACAGAGATATGAAAAATTGTGCTCTATATGAGTAATAAGAATTGTAATGCATTCCACTACTGTGGTGTATTTAAAAAAATAAAATCAATAAAAGATAAAAAAAAAAAAGACTACCTTATGACCCAGCTAAACTACTCCTAGGTATTTATCCTAAAGGATTAAAGTCATCTTACTACAGTGATATATGCATGCCCATGTTTATAGCAGCACAATTCAAAAAAGCCAAGCTATGGAATTAGTCTAGGAGTTCATCCATAGATGAATGGATAAAAAAAATGTGGTATAAATACACGATGTCATTTTATTCAGCCATAAACAAAAGTGAAATTATGGCATTTGCAGGAAAATGGATGGAATTAGAGATTGTGATATTAAGTGAAATAAGTCAAATTCAGAAGGTCAAGGGTCCTATGTTTTCTCTTATATGTGGAAGCTAGAGGAAGAGAAAGGAGAGGGTAGATCACCTAAAAATCAAAGGGAAATCAATAGTGGGAAAGGACCAAGGAATAGAAAGAGGGGAGGGAGGGGAAAATGCTAGGGAGTGATATTGGTCAAATTATATTTTATACTGTGTGCATGTATATGTAATCACAAATCCCATCATTAAGTGCAACTATAATGCATCAATAAAAATGTGGAAAAAAGAGAAAAAGTAACCTAATATATTCATTATAAAAATCATAATTAAATCAGGAGGTACTCTTTTTAAAAATTCTTAATGATATAATTAGAGCTAACTTTTCACTATCAAGAAGGAAGCTGCAAATAAAGGAGGAAGATCCAAATGATCCCTATGATGTTGCACTGAAACCAGAGATATCAGTTTAAAATGCAGACACACATGGACATGGATGTTGAGTTGAATACACGTCTGTATGGGTTAGAGTACACACACATAATTCCTACCTGCTGAGAAAGTTTGTGACATTGATACCTCAGAAGCAAAAATCATGAAAAGTGGTTACTATGGAAGCTAATAGCCTTAGAGATCACAGTAATTCCTTTGTTGTTGTTGTTATTTATTTATTTATTTATTTATCTATTTAATGTGGTGCTGAGAATCAAACCCAGTGTCTCACACCTGCTAGGCAAGCCCTCTACCACTGAGCCACAACCCCAGCCCAGAGATCACAGTAATTCTTGAGGTCATCAAGGTATCACTTCCATACTTGATATAAGAAATAGTGACCCTGAATCATCAGGAAATGGTTAAAATTTAATCAATGGTGATAGTTTTATGGTTAAGAAGGCATGCAGAAGACTTCCTTTGATACTTAGCATCCAGCTCTTGATTTCTTAAGAACTGTTTTCCAATATAAGGCACAAGGGCTTCTTACAGAATTGATTGATTCAGGACTTGACAGGAAAGCATCAAACTGAGGTTGGAACATTTTATGATGCCACAACATAAGGATGTGCTTTTAAAAGAAGAGGGGCTTGTCAAAATATATAAAAGTTAAACAGGAGTGGTTCCCTGAGGGTAGAGAAGGAACCATTGGAAGAATAAAGTAAATAAAAATAGAATTGATTGATTATACTCCAAAAAATAAAATGAGTAGCCATGAATTGTTGCTGATATTAATTAATAATTAACTATTTCTTAAATTAAATTTTAAAAGGAAAATAAGGAACAATTCTTTCTTACAGAAAAATTCTAATTTTAAAAAGTGGAAGAAATAAGGGGAAATCATCATTTGGTAAGCACTACAGTTTTAACTATTGTAGGCAGGATACACTAATGGGGACTAAAATGAGTGGGTATATACTTGAGAAATGACATTATATAAGCATAGCCTCAAAGTATCCCACCCAAGATATTGGACTAACAATGGAGAAATACATCAGATACCACCTTAACCAAATATTCAAAAAACACAGACATTGGTGCAACCACTCTGGAAAGCAGTGTGGAGATTCCTCAAAAAACTTGGAATGGAACACAATTTGACCTGGTTATACCACTCACAGGTATATATCCAAAGGAATTAATTAACATACTACAGTGATGCAGCCACATCAATACTTACAGCATTTTAACTCACAATAGCTACAGTATGGAAACAACCTAAGTGTCCTTAAACAAATGAATGGATAAAGGAAATGTGGTATGTATACACAATAGAATATTACTCAGCCGTAAAAAAGAATGACTATATGAATTTTTCCAGTAAATGGATGGATCTGGAGATTGTCATGCTAAGTGAAATAATACTAAAAAACAAAGGTTGAATGTTCTTTCTGATATGTGGATGCTAACACACAACAAGGAGGGATTGGGGAAGAATAGAAGATCAGCGGATTACACAAAGGGGAATGAAGGGAAGGAAGAGGGGATGGGAAAAGGAAAAACGGTAAAATGAATTGGACATAACTTTCCTATATTCATATATGAATACAGCACAGTGAAACTCCATATCATGTACAACCACAAGAATGAGATCCTAATTAGAATAAGATATAATCCATGTGTACATATAATATGTCAAAATCCACTCTACTGTCATGTATATCTAAAAAGAACAAATTAAAAAATAAAGAAAACAACAGAACAGACATCTTACAGCCCCTGATTACTGTGCATTGAGAACGGTACAACATCTCTTACATGATATTTACCCTGAAAATGTATAATCTCAACATAATCACATTAAACATTAGACAAACCCAAAACAGGGACATTCTACAAAATCACTGACCAACACTCTTCAAACATGTCAAGGTCATGAAAGACAAGGAGCTCTCACAGATTCAAAAAGACTTAGGGGATATGACAACTAAATACAATGTGGGATCATGGACTATATCCTGAGTCAGACAAAGGACATGAGGGTGTAAACAAGGGGAATTCAAAACTGTGCATAACTTAGTTAATTATGCCTTGGTATTATGCCTATGAAAATTTCCTGTGGGGTGGTTATGCAACATGTTACCATTTGGGGAACACAGGTTGGATGCTATATGTGAACTCTACTGTTTTTGCAACTTTTCTATATGCCTAAAATTGTTTCAGGATAAAGAGTTGAAATAGGGCATGGTGGCACATACCTGTAATTCCAGCACCTCGGGGAGACTGAGGAGTATCTCAAGTTCAAGGCCAGCCTCAGCAATACAGCCAGACCCTCAGCAACTTAGCAACAGCCTGTCTCAAAACAAAAAATTTTAAAAAGGACTGGGGATGTATGCAGCGATAAAGCACCCCTGGGTTCAATTATTTATTTTGTTTTGTACCGAAAAACAAAACAAACAAACAAAAAAGATATAAAGTAAAAAAAAATCTTTTTTAAAAAAAAATATTTTTGGTTATAAATGGACACAATACTTCTATTTTATTTTTTTATTGGAGCTGAGAATTGAACCCAGTGCCTCACAAGTGCTAGGCAAGTACTTCAGCACTGGGGCACAACCCAGCCCCTGAAAAAAATTCTTAATGAATTTTGTTGGTTAAATTTTTTTTTTCATTTTTTTGGATTAATTCCAAATGATTTTCTGACGTTTTGCTAAAATACCCATGTTGCTCAACATATAATTATGAGCAATGTGTATAGACTAGCATTCTCCTCTTTCCCTTCTTAAATGTAACTTCATTTATTCACTGAATAATTTGACTAAACAGTGGTAGCACCCACTGTGTATGAAAAGCCTCGTGCTAGGCACAGAGGACAAGAAGTTGAAGAGTACTTGGTCACTGCTCTTGAAACAATGTTCAGAACTGTAGGGATCATTA